CGAAATACGAAATCCCGTATTTCGTACTTCGTACTTCAGAAGTACGGAGAAGTACAAAAAAGTACGAAGAAGTATCAAGAAGTACGGAGAAGTACCAGAAGTACAGAAGTATGCTTTTTCCCCCTTGGGTTATTCACTGAATAAGTAAAGTTCGAACAAAACAATATTTCTGATTATCATGACCCGAATGGAGTTTATGTAAGTGCAAATATAAAAGAAGTATGATTTATTAAACGTTAATTACCAATATTAGGAGCCACATATCTCAGAAACTAAAAGGGATCTTTTTCTTGAAAATACCAGTATATAGTACAACTTGTGTATTTCAGACTAGTATAAAAAGTAGAAAAGGCAACTTCTTCCTGCAAGCGTGAAGAAGGAAGAAAGATCAAACAGATGGCCTTTTTTGAAGTTGGAAGGTGAACTAAGTTGTATTGTAGTGTAGAAAAGCGTGAATTCTCAACACGAAGATCTTCGAGTAAAAATCACAGCTGCATTATTGAAATCTTTTCGACGTACAACGTAATTGACTATTCCTAATATCTAGACCCCCAAACCACTTTTCTTTAGAAAATAATGGCGAAACTTTCTATATTGTTTCTTTCCTTTTCGTTCCACAGCATAACTGCATTTCAAAAATTTCGTAGAAATTTCGGCTTCAGATTTTAAACTGCATACATTGATCCTGTTGGGTATTTTCAGTGATTAATTTATCTGCTAAAGAGTGTAATTCATCCATTTTAGTTATGTAGAAAATCTTGTTTATAGAGAACCAGCCCGATCCAGTAGCATACATTCTATCCGACAGGGACCTTTCAGTATCTGAAAAGCAACACGAGAGTGAACCACCGTATTAGATTACCATGATACCACTATCATAAAAGTACCTTTCTACGAAATTTTTGCAAATCCAAAAAATACTATTTTAGTTTTTAAAAGGCAAAAAGAAAACAATATTATGAAATATTCAACCCATCACTTAATCCATCGCAAAAGTTTGATGCTCATTGTCTTTTTCTAAGTAATGATCTACCATATCAAGGAACGCACTGTTCTAGAGGTAAATTTCGGATCCCTTCTCGTTACTACTCATGAAATTGCGTATCGCATTCACGTAGAAGTAAAACGTCCCGAATAATTTCTTCCACTATTACAAGAGTATTACAACATCAAATCAGATTTGATGCGGCTAAATCCACATAATTCTCATTACTTTATTTAGCTTTTTTTAAGCGAAGCACGTTTTTCATTTTAGTGGGAAAATTTTGAAATAAAGTACAAGTAATAAAGTTTGAGCTTTAAATTTACTTTAGTTAAAGTTTGAGCTTTAATTTAATTTATTTAAATTTTCGAGATTACCACGCCTAAGGAAATATCGATCCTGAAGCCTCGAGGAAATCCGATGCCACGCCTAAACCTCAAAAGGTTAATAGGTTTCTTAGTTCTCATTTGGCAGAGGGCATTTTAGACTATCATACCTATATGAGAAACATAGAGGACGCTCTGGCAGATCTTGGAACCACGACCTATTCTTTTAAACACTGATAAGGTATACGACCGGTAGGTGGCATTTTCCGAGATATTTTTAACTTTATGTTGTAGCTAATTACCTCTTCTATGCAATGCTGAAAATCGCGAGTGTTCGATGTGCATTGTTCAGAAGTTATTAAAGAAATAGTTAAAATGTTGAAACTGGATGCCACTGATCACCACTTTGTGCAAGCATTTTATGATTTGATGCCAAATCAACAACAGGTTTGTCTCAGTCACGATAATTTCACATATAATATTTATTTTCTTTGTATCATAGATTCAATCAGCAAGATTCATCTGGCAAGCTACTCATGATAAGAATAACATGAATGAAAAAGTTCAGACAATCAAGCATCAACTACATGCCAGCAGTTTACCAGTACCTACAATCTTCTAGATCATTTAGTCGATGATATCGAGAAAATGCTTGCTTGTGCCAAGTCAACAATCGATGAAAGCGTACGAACAACATTATCTGCTTGTCGTTAGAAGAAAATAGGTCAATACAAATATGACATGCTCACGTTGACAGTGGCTACTGGTGAAGAAATTGTGCGCAGTTTCGACAAACGAATTGAAGAAGAAAAGAAAACATTTTCCACTGTTACTGCTGGTATTAATGGGCATGATCCATCATCATCATCATTGCTGTCTACTCTGATGGTTGCAACTGAAACTCGGCAAGCACACATGGTAGAACGTGCTGAATATATGACGAAAAACAAAATCCATTCTTTTTTCGACGAAGTTCCGGCGGCATGCGACGATCTGGACAACAACAGCGTCGTCGGAGCAAAATCTTGAACATTAATAACAACAACATGTTTCTCTCGTTGCCGATTGTCGGTGTGTCTTTGCCTCTATCTTCAAAACAAATAGCGTTTTTTGATTATGGTCTGAAATATGTACCACCATGTCAAAGTCATATTAGTCATCGACCGACAGAGCAAATCATCGAACAAGTATACAAGCGTCTGCATGAACAGATTTCCAAGAACTTGGCAGAATATTGTATGACAGCATCAGATCAGCGAGCGATTGAACATTTTGCCTCGGTGCAACAGCTACTGCTGTGCTGAGGACAACGGCCACTGATGATCTCTTGATGCCAAGAGATCGTCAGTGGCCGTTGTCCATTGGCTGACGATTTAAATGATGTGACGAGCTTGCTTGATTAGTTGTACAAGAATAAAAGAATAATCAAAGATCAAATGAAAGATATGCAACCGGACAAACATAAATTGAAATTAGCTCATCTGTACTTCATTCCAAAAGCACATAAAGTAAGGAATAAATTCTTGATATGTTTTTATATAAGACTTGTCGTTTTCTCATAGCCTAACATATCAGTACGACCGATCATTGCTTCTATCAATGCACCAGCACGATGTATCTCCAGTTTTCTCGATAAACTGCTTAGTCCTATTTTCGATCAAGTGGCTCGAAAAACGACTCTTATCAATGGTATTGATCTGGTTCGAGCATTGGAAAAATATCGAGACAATTGTCGTCTGTTACCAACAACACAATTTATTACTTCTGATGTGACTGATCTCTACACGATGATTCCACGAGATGGTGCTCTCGCTGCTTTGGGTCATTTTTGTATTCGACATTCAGCAGATCGGAAAATCGGAAATTTGTTAGTAGACACAATTCTCCAATTGGCTCGTACAGTCTTGGATACTAATTCTTTTGCTTACAATTATAAGTATTATAAGCAGACGAAAGGTGGTGCCATGGGATTACCTTTTACTATGGTATTGGCCAATATCTATATGCTTGAATGGAAACAACCTTTGATTCAACATCAAGCAGAACAGAACGAACTCTATGGCCGGTAAGTATAATACTGAATACATATTGCCCCGAATAATATTGTGCTTTTACATATATTGATGATGTTTTCATGACATCCAATTCATCGAACGAAGACATTAAGGCTCTCCTAGAATCAGCCAGCAAAAAAGATCAAAATATTCAAGTTACAAGCACCATTGGTAAATCTGTTGAATATCTGGATGTATTCGTAGAGAATGAAGATGGACACTTGAAAACATCGATTTATCATAAATCAGCAGCTGAACCCTACATTCTTCCATATCAATCCGACCATCCACGTCACATTCATCGTAATATCCCACATATAGCTCTACTTCGAGCGGCTCGTCTATGTTCCAATGCAAAAAGATTTCGATGCGGAACGGTTGAACATGGAAATGGTCTTATTATTGAATGGCTATCCACCTCAGTTTATTTCTCATCATATCAAACGCTTCTTCGCCAACAACAATGCTGGGT